CCGCCTGCTTCTTCTTCTCCTTTCTCTCAGCACATTTTTTTTTTCTCAAAAATTCTCCTCTACTCCTTCTCCTTGTTCTATTTTTCTCCCTCTGCCCAGAGAAGTCGTCCTCCTTGCACAGTCGTCATTGTCATCTATAGTCCATGCTGTGGAGTCTCGTCGTCTGCTGCCAGTGGTCAGCTGCCATCGGTGTTCGTCTGTCATCGCCGTCGTCTACAGCCCATGGTCGGAGGTTGTGGTTGTGGTTAGCGCTTGGGTGGGGTTTATTGCAGACGACGAAAGAAAAAGGGATGTGAGTTAGAACGAATAGAAAGAGGGAGGGTTGCGAACGAACAGAATGAAGAAGAAAAGGAGAGTTTGCAGAATGGAGAAGACGAGGAGTTTGCATCCCTCGATGTGTATTGGAGGGATAAGGATTGTCTATTTGAAAAATAAATGAGGGCATTATGGGAAAGTCAAAATTTCATTAAAACCACCGGTTAAATTTTTTTAAAAGCAGCTTTTAAAAGCTGGGTTTTGCTGCTTTGAAAAAACAGCGGTCATTGACCGCAATTTTTTTAAAAAGCTGCTTCTTGATGTTTACCAAACGACATAGTGTTGCAAAATTTTTATTAAAGTCGCTTTTTTTAAAATTTAAGCAATACCAAACGCTACCTTAGAGAGAGGTAAAGAAATAGACATTGTGAAAAACAAACGTTTCCTAGGCAAACTATTCATTGGATGAATTTATCCGTATCTTTATCATTTGTGGTCTCACAATCTAACAATACAACAGACATTCTGATAAAACAACACTAACCAAATGACAATAATATAAGCTCAAACCAAAAAAGAGTATAAATTTATAAAAGATAAATGATGATCTACCGACATTTCAAACAAAAGCTGCAATATCATAATATTAAAAAAGTCACTACATTGCAAATCATAAAACAACAGACGTTCACTCTTACAAGGGGCCGAAAAGGAAAAGCTTTCGCTCTTCTTTCAAAATCAAAATCACATTACTTTCTCTTGCGCAACCTTTCAATTGTGTATTCTAACCAACAATTTTGATTGTTCATTCATAAATTAATTATCTCAATTCTGTGAGCACCACTCTTTGAGAAACAACTTGGTTTCTTTACTTTTTAATGAAAGTTAAACGTTTCCGATTAATACTGTCTAATTGGATTAGTATTGTTCCGGCCTTTTCCCCTTCAGTCCACTTAATCGATTCTTCCTGCAGTAGCTTCAAAACCTGTATAAATGGAAAAAGGATAAGCCAAGTATGAAGCATTGTTCAAACAGATGCAGCAAGCAATTATGAAGCAGTCTTACCAATACTCGTCTACGAGATCCTTTTGAGATCTCTTCCTCTTGTGTATCAATGATGACCTTAAGACACTTGATTGCTGACGAGAAGACAACAAATAATTCCAATTAACAAGAAAACAAGTCAAAGAATAACAAGGAACATGAGAACGTTTACTTACATGAGATTCCAGAAAATGAAGAAATTTGACACTTCAAAAGACGTATCGCCTCCTTGGCACTGCGTTCATGCAAGTCAAGCACTATTTCACCCTGTGTCTCAACGTTTCTGATGAGGAACACAGAATAAAAGAAAAAACATTAACATTGTGGGATCCTATACACCATCATTAACCAATGCCCACAGAGAGTAGAAACACACACCACAAAATTTCAACGAAAAGGATGCTAACCTTGTTCTTAGAATCATTTCATTTGACTCTTCATCCGCTTCACGTGCCTTTTCTTGGAAAAATTTTCCCTGCCACATTACAATAGAATTCATAAATTCATTTTAAAAAAATACTAATAAGGTGAATTCTACACTTGAAAATTTGATATCTTATATTTTTAGCTTAGATACGTGATCAAGTCCGGCTTGGTATCTGCATGAAGTGAAACTGCCCCTTGTTCAATTTTTGAAGCATGTATTTCATTTTATCCAACTGAAGAGTGTGTTTAAGAAAAGCTATTTCCAATATAGTCGTAAGATGCTAATTCATTTACTTTAAAAGAAAATAATTCGTATCCAATCACTTCATGACAGTAAGTAAGCCTTACTTGTTCTAGAAGTTTGTTTGCTCGATCATGATCCTCCTTAGAAAATGCCTCTACAGCCTGGCAAAGAAAATTGATATCCTTACTCCATGTGTGAAATTTTAAGGCTGCTAAGAAAAACTACTCTACACGTTTTATAGATCAAATAATTGCAAATAAAATACTAAACCCTAAAAAGCCACATACAGCCTGGAAATATTCCTTCATCGTAGTCCGATACTCCTTCACAGCTTTACGAAGAACCTGGTAGTTATCTTCGTCATCTGCATCTGCAATTTAGCACACTATGAAAGAAAATACAAACATAAACACGAAATTGACAGATAAATCACAAGCAACCACACATCAAAATTAGCTAGTGCCTTAATAGGTCTGTCTTTAGTATAAATCTGGATTTCATGGGAAATTAATAAATTCCTGAGAGCAGTTGATACACAAGGTTGCATACCATCCTCCTTAGGATGCTGTTGATACACAACAGCTGATTTGCACTCTGAAATGAAATCATTTGGAGGTTCAACCACTAATTGTCCGTATGCTCCATATCTATTTGCTGCCTTTATTGTTCTTCTTGGTAGCTCCTCAGGTCTCTCCTCGGATCTCTCAGAAGCACTGAACAACGCAGCCAGAACTTCCTTCTGGAGTTCACTTCTCTCTTTATTTTGTCCCGTAAAGTCCACGCCATTTGTATTTGAAGCCTTATCTCCATTACTGCATGAAGACGAGTATAGACAAGTAAGACTGATTGATGGGATTAGCTAACAGATACCAACAGAGAAAGTCCTAACAGCAGAATATTTACTAAACAACCCCCTCTTTCCCCTTCCCCTCTTCAAAATAAGAAACATAAATACATTACACTTGGAACTATAACAAAAGTGATGAAAGAAACATACCCTTCAGAGGAGTTTATGCACTTTCTCTCAGAAGCTACTTCAGATTTCTGACACAAACCTGCAGACTGGACAACAATATCCTCAAATAAGTGGATAGGGAAGACTAGATCTTATTATAGTTTAAATTTAAATGACATGTATACTGTAACAAGGTCCCCTCCTCCCCCAAAATTCTCACACAACAAGACACCTTCACTGTCAAATATCAATTACAAGAACTGTAGAAAACTGCATGAGTGCATCCTCGAAATTAATTTATGCACTTAAATAAGTGTGACATCTCTTTATATTTATCTCCTTATATGCAGTTAAGAGACCCAAAAGCTTATTTACATTATAGAAATATAATTGAATAGCTTTTTCCAAGAAGAATGGAGTGTACATCATTGATGCATCAGAAAACACATAAAATCTTGTTTGGGGCTATGTTCTTAAATGCTTGGAAGTGTTACTAACCTTATCACTGGATCTAGTGATGAGTCCGTTCCTTTTGTCAGAAGTTGATGCTGGTAAATTAATCAGCTTTTCCATGCTCTGAATGGTATTTGAAAAAATAATGAAAGTTATTGCTTTGGAGTACTCAATGTATGTATATTTCCAATGTCTAGCATATGAGAAAATAATTGTATAATATCAGAAAAAATGGGGAAAATTATTTTGTGCATACAATGTATAGTAAAAAGATAAAGAAAACAATGTTGGGAAAAAAGCCAGAACTCTGTCAAGAAACTGCCTTTGAGGTTTCCAGAAGTAAAGATAAACTTTTCTTATTTAGAGGCTGTGAAAACACCCCAACTTTTGACAAAGATAAAATGACATCCATTGGAGGAAAGGGAGAAGCTATGATAAATGTAGTGTACCTTTTCCATATCATATCCGCAACTATCTGCAGATTCCAAATAACACCGCAACAAATTAGTTTTCACACATTAACATCAATCAAACTTAAAATGGAAAACAAACTATCCACAGCTATAAAACAGCTTGCAATAAAAAATTTCAAAACCCAATTTGTTGTGCCTCAAAAGTCAAAACTAAAAATTTCAATCCAATCATCAAATCTTCTTTCCATTAGTCAAGCAATTAGCAGGAAGCTCGTTTATGAAGCAAATTTTATTCTTTTTTCCAAAATTTATTATTAAAGAAACTGGCTTTGTTGTTGGACATATATGAAATGTCCATATATCTAACTAGAATTATGAATGTTGGCATAAATATACACCCATTTGTTCATGTTCCTACTTTTACTCTCATCTTCCTTCTCAACCAACTCACACTTCTCCTCTGCTCTTCAAGTTTCTTACTTCCCACTCTGCACTTATAACTCCCATAACCATGAGTGTGCACAATCCTTCTAGTGTGCGGCCTGAAGGCATCTAAGCATAACTGATAAATCTGTTTGATGCTAGAGCAGATTCAAATCAGCCTTGACAGTTTCCACAACCATGCCAAACTGATACATATTGATAGTTCATGCAGACTTATAAATTAAATGACAAGACAAATAGCAAATATTTGAAATGGAACACAAAAAGCACTTTACCAAGAACTTCTCGTATCCTCTCTCTTTCTAGCTTGAATCCATCTCCAAGCATAGTGAATAGAAAATCTTCCATATCCTGGTGGACACCATCATTCCTTGAAGAATTAGACTCAGCCTTTTCCACCCAAGTTTCCGACATTGGCAACACCTCAGAGTCCAGCTTCAAGGGTTTGGTTGCATTACAAGACCCATTTGCTGATGGTGTTTTCTTCACATAATGTTTCCCAATAATGCTTGAAACACTGCCTCCTGAAACAGGACGATATTTGGGCTTTGAAGCTCTGGAATTCCCATTTGCTTGATATTGATACGGCTTCTTAGAGCTATTATCGAGAGATAATCGTGAAGATTCTTCTTCACCCCTTGGCTTTGCCTCACCATTAGGTGTAGACATAGCCAGAGCTTCAGCAGCATCGCCAGCATTCTTCCCAGCCTTGCAATAAGCAGAAGCTATTTGATCAAGAGAAAACGCAGCACCAAACGCCTCAAGCAAACCTTTCAACGCCTTCTCATCATCAAAATTTGACGCCCCATTCAAACCAGAGGCCTCCATTCTCACAATTCAATCAATAACAAATTAGATTTTGAATTCAGGGAAAGACACTGACACTGAAACTGAGCAAAAAGCCGATTTCCCAAACAAATTCTAGGTCTGAATAAGGAATGCAATCAAACCCACTTCAACACCAGCCACAAATTCACACGAACTCACTTTGAGTCGTCGTTTCGGTGGTGTGCAATGGGAGATTAAAGGTTGCGGCTTTTGCCACCCTAAGACGCTGGCTTTTCAAAGAGTACTTGAACAGCAGCAATGAATTGAATTGACTGATTTTGAAAAATCTCAACACGAAAATCAAAGAATGAATTTTTCGAGACACAGATGGTGAGGATTCTTGAGGAATTAACTCATGGATGAGTTATGAGTGCGAGTGGACGGAAGAATAATTATGATTTATATATAAATAAAAAGAGGATAAAGTAAACTAAAACAAAGAAATAATCGTAAGCAACATGCTTTTGGCGCCTTCGCTATTGCTTATTGGCACTGTCCACCTCTGATTCGGCTGTCTTCCTTCCAAAGCACGTTCCTTCCGAAGGAAGTTCTTGCAAAAAGAGACTGAATTTTTCAGCCTCTGGGTGATTGAAAATGTATAATGGTGATGTTGATAGCTGACGGATTAGACCAGTTGATTAGAGCGATGTGGCCGTATTTTATATCATCTGATCCTTGAAACAATAAAAAGGAATAAGTCCTCAAGAAAGAATATCTCTCAAATAAACATAATTCCCTTATAAGGTAGTTTTACTCTGTAGATTACTTGGAAACCTTAATTTGGGACTAATTATGTAATGTTAGAGAGCATATATGATGATTCACATACATGAATGACGAGAGTCAAAGTGTATCTAAAATAATTTGGTATGCATATTAATTTTTCGTGTCAAAGTTGATGCACAATACCAAATCGAGAAATGAAGGAAAACAATATACATTAAGAACTAAACTTTTTTTTTTCTTCTTCAAGTATTAATAATCAACAATAACCCGCTAATTTCATGTTAGGTTCAAATTGTGTCACCGTAAAAAATTTGTTCTTATATGATAGGGTTAATTTCTTTCGATAAGAATCTATGCAGTAAAGAAAACAAAATTGAATGGGGGTGTTGTTTAAGGTTCAATCATCACACACACACACACACACACACAATTCTGCTTGCAATTACAATTACAACGCGTTATTCTCTAGTCACATAAACACCATGATACCCTGGTTTCCATAACCAAATGCAGGAAATTCATTTGCTTGCTTCCTGTTTTGCTCAACCAACTGCCAGTTTTATGCCATTTTCACTGAAACAAACTATGCAGACCTTACTATAAAAGCCCTTTAACATGCAGAACAAGCTTAGGCAATAGAAAATAGCTAGAGATGGCAACAGCAAAATGGGCTTCCATAGCCTACTTGATATTGCTTAGCTGGGGAGTTACCTCTGCTCTTAGGGTTATTACTGGCAAGGAAAAACAAATGGTTGATGAACCAGAGAAGTTTGTCTTAGGTGGACAAATCGGAGGAGGGCTTGGTGGACCAATTGGAGGAGGACTTGGTGGACAGATTGGAGGAGTTGGTGGAGGTATTCTTGGAGGTAGTATTAGTTTCGGTCCAGGTTTTGGTATTGGAGGTAGTATTGAAGGTGGGATTGGCAATCTAGGTGGTGGTAGTAGCGAAGGTGAGGGTAACAGCGGTTGCCAAGGTAATGGTGCTTGTAGTGGCCAAGCTAGTGGTATTGGCGGTGGGGGAGGTGGTGGTATTGGCGGTGGACTAGGTGGTGGTATTGGAGGTGGGGTAGGTGGAGGTATTGGCGGCGGGGGAGGTGGTTGCATTGGAGGTGGCCAAGGGGGTGGTATTGGCGGTGGTATTGGCAGTGGTGAAGGCGGTGGTAATTGCGGCAGCCAAGGTGGTGGTGGTGGCAGTGGTGAAGGCGGTGGTCCAGGCTTTGTCATCCCAGGTTATGGAACTCCAGGCTATGAAAGTGGTGATACTAATGGCGGCCAAATTGGTTCTGGTCTATATTGCACACCAATTCATTGCCCTGCTGCTACCTGCAAAGGAGTTCGTTTGTACTTTCAACATGACCAGTCCATGGATGATACCAATGTCCACAATAACCACTTCAAAGTAGACCATGAGCCCATGGAGGGAAGAAACAGCCATGGAGAAAATGGCATCCATGTCAATGAGATTACACATGCACAATGGAAGATGCCCACAGATGAAACCAGCAGCAATGCCGAAGGTGAAGGGCATCGAGATCGCAGTATGGATGCCATGGCCCCAGAATCAGACTAGGCAGACTAGGATCTACTGTATAAGCTAACATATCTAGTTTAAGCATTATTGTGTACCAATAAAATCCCCCAAACTTATGATGATATAATAAGCATGCATTTCTGACAGGCCACATGTAACTTGTTCTGTTTTTATTACACACTCTAGTTTACAACTCACCAGTTACATATACAATTCATTGTTCTCACTAGCAGGCTGCAGGGCTAATTTCAGGGTCCTTATTCTCCTTCCTTGACCACAGTTGCTTGATCAGACCAATTTCCTTCTCCTTCCTTGACCACAGGTGCTTGATCAGCCCAATTTCCTGCACTGCCGGTGCGCGGGATGCTGGGGAGTCGGGTGAACAGATCCACCTGAAAAGTAACCCCACAAATATAGCCATCATCATCTTCGTGTGTGATTGCCCTTACCTTGTGTAAGGGATGAACAAAGCTCGTCAGCCCACTTCCGCTTGTAAATATGCAGCCTGTTAGACCATTTTAAAACACTTCTTAATATTGAACTTGGGTTAGTTACTGCAAATCGGGTCAGAATTCTATCATCATAAGGCATTGACGACGAAAAAGAAATTAAAGGGTAATGGAAGAGCACCAATTTGGACTAACCTGGAGGAAAAGGTGCAAAAGATTTTCCACAAGCCTCTCTGATGATGTTTATATCATGAGAGTAGACTAGGGATCCATCACCTGCCATGCCCCACTGAAGCTCCACACTTCCATCTCGATCCTAACAGGAATAGCAGCTGTATTAGCTCTAGCATTGTGGGAGATGAAATGTTTTTGACCAACCAAGAAAAGTAAAGATCTCCAAGCCAGTGTTGAATGAGACAGACTACATTCAAAAATAAAATTTGTTTTGAACAAAGTCAAAGACAAGTTTAATTATATATATTTCAATTGTAAGTTCATTTCAGAAATGCATAACCCACCCTCGCTGCAAAAAGGGTACCAAATCTAGCATCAAAGAGAATAAATGCGAATTTTCCTTGCAGATCTTTGATGACTTGATCTGGCGGGTAGGGTGCTCGATCTCTTAGAACTTTATAAGCTTCAACCACAACCATGGCTTCTGTTGCTTGTCTTGGAAGGCCGTAGTGCCTTCTAAGGTCCCAAGTGTTCTCCAAAATCCCTATAAAAATGCAGAAGACATCGTCTATGACAACTATGGACCTGCCAAATACAGAAATACACAACTGAGAGCATTGTATAGAAAAACAAGAGCTTCACTTTTGCATGCAGGCCTCGGCGCAAGAAAAGCTCAACTAGCATAATCAAATACCCTGTAATAATCTTTTGTGAGAACTGAGATGAGAAGAATATTGGCTTAGAATATCAACAAGAAAACAATGAGGCATGGAACTAAAAGACGATGAAGATCAAATATCAATCAATACCTTCGGTGTGATTGAATACTTTCGTCGGCATGGGACAAGGCCATGAAATTCCCATTTGAAAGATAGTACACCGTGCTCTCAGGACATGAAGATTGGAAAGTCTCCCAAATTTCCTCTCTGGTCTTTGCCTTCTCCAACACATTCGAAGGAAGCCTCAGCTCCTCAGGTGGTTTTCCAATTGCTTTCTCAAAAACCGCCAACATTTTCCAGCAAAACCTTCAACAACATACAGCTATTTCTCAGAATGGAGCGGCTTGTACATATACAATCTTGGTTTCCATGCTTTTGACCACATGCTTATCTGGAGAAAATAAGTTTGGCTAGCTTACAAGAGAGTGTTGGGTGGGACTGTGCATGTGGCAGCTCCAAGGATTACATCAGGGCAAGACGTGGAGTCTGCTGCAAAAGGCAAGCGTTATAGCAAGTCATATATTATTGCCCAAAAAAGTTTTGGCTAGTTCTTAAGGTGTCCGTTACAATCTTTCATAGTCAAATTTCAAATTCCGATAAATAGAAAATGATTTTTGTCAAGTCAGAGGAGAGAGGAAGAGAAAAAACTAAAGCTTTCTGTTGTAATAATGGAATTTAAGAGGGAAAAAATAGTAGCTTAATGTACAAAATCCTATCAAATAGACTGCTGGGTACAATTTTACAAAATTGTGAGGGTACTTTGACCCAGCATAACACTAAAACTGGTCAGTGCCAAAAAAAGTATTTACATGAAGATCGAAAAGAATGAGTGACTATGTCTGGATGATGGTTTACCCATGTTGTAGGACTGTAAGACAATGTTCGCGGATCAGTAGAGTGTCATTTTACTTGATGTAAGCAACTGTACAACCATAATTCATTGGACTTTCTTGTTCATACTTGGCTACTCGTGGATGGTTTTTCAAAATCTCAAGTGCTCGCTCTTTAACAACCCCTGTGCCCATCCCATGTATGACAAAGAGAACTGATTGAGATTGTCTAGCAGAGATGACCAAGTCCAGGAGGTCAGAAGCTTCCTCCACCCTCATGCCACGGAGATCCACGGTGTTCTTTGACGTTTGTATCACTGGACCATAGGTGACCTCCCCGCTTTCGGTTTCCCCAGTACGACTCTGCGAAGCCTACAATATCAATCAAAATGATCAGCCTCTATCTTTGGATTTGATTCCAAACATCTACAAGCCATGGAAAGCCGTCAAAACCCCCAAACAGGATGTTTGATGGTACTAAGAATAAATAATTACTTATTACATACCTGCTGCTTCAAACGTGGGGCAGAATTTGTCATTCGATTCTTCTCAATGCTAGGAACAGCTCTGATGTCATTCTTCTTCAAGCGAACCTTTATTTTACCGTATTGTACAAGGACTGTCCCATCATCTCCAGGTGTTTCAACAACAGTAGCTAACTTATCTCCCAGTCTCTTCAAATGGACTTGCTCCCCAGGTTGGGGCGTGTATGAAGCAGTAGATGTCTCACTAACCAACAAATCATCATCAGGACAATGAGCCTTAATAACAGATGCAATTGCAGCTTCTGATTTCCTAATCAGCAAATTCAACTGATCAGCACCAGCAGTTTTGAGTTGGTTATCAAACTCGTTCAGCACAGATTCCATTTGAGATTTTGCAGTCTTCACTTCTTTCTGAACCTGTAGGGTTTCCTTTGCCATAAGAGCTCTCTTGCGCTTATCAAGATCTTCTGCCTCATCTTGGATCTTCAATTTAATAAAAGAAAAAACAAATTAAAGCCGTAAAGAGCCACATAAAACAAGATAATGAAAAGGTAGCAGCAGAGAAAAATGCAAATCTGTTCCAGACTAGAGCTACTCAAACAATACCTCACGATAAAGATCCATGATATCTGAATGAAGTGATGCAGCCAGTTTTGCCTGAGCTTCTAGTCTGCCTCTTTCCTCTATTAATGACCGATATAGCAAACCTTTTCGCTCCTGTTGCTTTTCGGGCATTAACCTCTCCACCCATTTTTGTGCACGCTCAATTATGCGTTGATTAAAACCAATCAATTTAGCAATACTCAATGCATTTGAATCACCAGTACTTCCCCATAGGATCCGATAAGTAGGTTGTAAGGTTTCTAGACAAAATTCCATGGCGGCATTTTCAAACTGATTATCCTTTTCTTTCAGGCGATTTAAATCCGCATAATGAGTAGTCACAACAGCTAAGTTAACACGGCCTTTGAGATATAGCAAGATGCTGGCAGAAAGAGCAACACCTTCTGAAGGATCGGTTCCACTGCCAATTTCATCAATGAGGACAAGTGATTCTTTTGAGGCCACTTCCAAAATATTACAGATCCGCGATATGTGCCCACTAAACGTTGAGAGATTTTGCTCAAGAGACTTCAATTGAAAAACAATAGTCAGACTAAAATGAAAAACTTAAAGAACCTAGGATTTTCTGCCATAATTAAGGTAAACTACTACCTGGTGATCTCCAATATCGGCTAGAACAAGATCAAACCACGGAAGCTTTGGGTGGTTTTTAGCAGGCAGGTACATGCCAGCCTTCGACATGAGAGATGCCAGGCCCAAAGCTTTCATGGAAGCTGTTTTTCCTCCAGTATTAGGTCCTGAGATTACAACCACTCTGGTGCCACATCCAATTTTGATGTCTATTGGCACTGGAAAATCAGATGCACGACCAGATAAACTTCCAGTAATCATTTTTAAACCATTAACGTCATCGGAGGAAAGGTGATTTCTAGAACTGGATTCAAGAACGTCAGATAAATTTTTAAGAGATGGCTCAAGCAGCAATGGATGTTGTAGTCCTTCTATATCTACAGTTGTCGCTAAACTGGCGCCACCAGAATCTAAGTCCTGGCAATCCTTGGAACTAAAAATTGGGCATACCCCATTCATCCGTAGAGCATAAGCAGCTCTAGCAAAAGCAAGATCCACTTCTAGAACTTTATCTAACAAATACATTATCGGTGTTTCTGATTTTGCAATTTCCGATGTAAGGAAGCTCAAAATGCCTATTTCCTCAGCTCTCTCAGCATTTGAAAGCCTCACTTCCATGTTATTCAACTCCACAGCCTCTTTGGGTTCCACAAAGTATGTTGCGCCAGAACTACTAACATCCAAAACTATGCAACCCGGAAGCAAATGTTTGTGAGTAGCCCTAACACCCACACACATCCTAGCCCTGCGCTTAGTCACCAAAGGACTGTCAATGCCACCAGCTTTAAAAATCTGGGTTGACACTTCCTTCAACAAAGAATCCAGATTTTCCATGTTACTCTTCCTTTCTGACCTAATGATCTCCAGGTCTTCACTAGCTGTGTCAACAATTATTGAAAGCTTGCAATCTATGCACAATCCTATCGTTTTCTCCAGCTCCACTAGGAAATCACAGTCGTCAAGTATTTCAAGCAGGGGCAAGTACCTGTTCCAGTACAACTTAACAAAAAATAAATCATAAAAATTTGATTTGTCTTAATATTATCTATCACAGTAGAGTACACAACCACATGCTCATTAAAACGAAAACACAGAACAAACCTAAAGGAAATAAGTAAATAGATAAAGCAAAGCTCAATAACACCGATACCTGTCTGTACAATCTGCACTCAAAGCCAAGCCCTTCAATTTTTCGAACAATCCCTTCGCGGCGTTCAGTGTCCTACGCATAGCGCAGAGCTCGTTGATGCTAAGCAATTTGCCTGAAACCGCGTAGCTCACGATGTCCGAGACGTTCTCGATGGCCGAGAAATCGGACGGCGGAGAACCGGCCATCGTGATGGCATCCACCGCCGCGGTCGTCTGATCGAGAAGCTTCTGGCTCTCCTCCTGGGACCGGCCGACGGGAATGTGGGCCTCCTGCGCGGCGGAGAAGCCCATGGCGGTGAACGCCAACGCCGAGAGCTGCTTGCAGACCGAGGCCCATTCTAGGATTTCTAGGGTTTCGGACTGGAGGGAATGGGCGAGGCTGAGTTGGTTGGACGGTGACTCGAGCGAGTAGGAAAGCGAGAAGTTAGCGGTGGCAGGTTTGAGGGCTCTGGTACAGAGGTTCGAAGGTTTGGGGACGGAGATGAAGAAGAGGTTGCTGCTGAGTTTCAATGGAGGAGTAAGAGAGTGAACGAGTGGATTCGAAGAGTTGAACATGGCGTCTTTGGTTTTGACGCGATGGGTTTTAGCATCTTATCCGTGAAGATGCAACTGTGGAACCAATCTCCCGCCTCGTAACCAAAAAAATTCTGGAGGCAATCTGGGCTTTGGCCCGCCGCCTGCTGGGCTTGGGTCATTTGCTCAATTTAATTTTCTCAACGACACGACATGTCGTTGTCCTTTTGCCCGTCATCAGCACCAATTTGGCTGAAGCCAGCCATTTCTGTTTTTCTAGTAATACACACGACAAAGGCAAATATTGTAGTACACTAAAAAAAATCAATATTTAACAAGTCATTTTCGAGAATATCTGTTTTATTTTATTTTTTTAACAGTAACGGATGAAAGGGACGAAAAAACACGAATAATATTTCACCTTTTTGAGGACTTCCTATTTTACCATTAGGACTCGAATCCAATGTCTTACTTAAGGAGTCCCCAAACCCCTGCACTAGTGGTCCTCTGCATATATTTCACCTTTTTGTTTTCACAGCTTGTTACAAATTGAGAAATGGAAAATTAACTTGTAGCGGCTAAACTAAATAAAAACCACCACTTAAGCAGAGATGATCAATCAATTCAATCCAACACAACCAGCTTCTGATACTCTTGGCCGGATATGGCAGCTTCCATGGCAAGGTCCGGTTGAACTTCCTTGTCATTATCCAAGAAGAGCTTGAGCAAATTCTTAGAGAAGCCACTCAACAGAGCCACTCCCGATTGTGTCCCGGTCACCGGAGTCGCCTTGAAGTGCCTCAGATTCCAAAACACAATCTGCGGCACCGCATTACCATACCCTTGATTCTCAAACTTCTTCTGTATCACAGCGTAATCAGTCTCCCATCTGCTAGACGACGAAGCCTCATCAAACTCCATGTCACTGAACACAAACACCCTCTTTATCATGTCCTCCGGGTTCAAATTCCCCTTCACGGGCACTTTCAGAATCAAATCAAACACCTTTTGGAAATCAGTGTTGCAACCAGCCTCCATCCTATTCACAAACTCACACTTGGATTGATATCATCGCCTTGTATCAAATGCAGCTGAGACCATTGACTCAAAGTGATCACCTTTCCTTTCCATGGATCTTCACTCAATTCAGACACCATAATGCTACTCTTACCACATTTTCATACCACCTTATGTGGCAAATGAATTAGATATTCACATCAATTAAAAAGTGTTAATAAATCATAAAAGAAAAGAAAATGTAACATTACTTTTAATTGACGTGGTTGTCCAAGTCATCTGCCACATGAAGTGGTATGGAAATGTAGTATACAAATGTGGTAATAGTAGCATTATTCAAATCCCCAATACCACATGAACCTTTCATGGGGGTTCCTTCCATGCTTCCCAATACGTCAGAAACAGCCAGGCAATTCCTCATCTTGCCTTGCTTTAACATGTCGTCCACCAAATGGCTTCCACTGAAGCTCAGCCACTTGCCCCCCATCGCTGCGGATGTCCTCTCGCCGCTCGCCCCCATCACCGCAGATGTCCACGGATGTCCTCTTGCCGCTATCGTCGAAACTATAGGGATTAATATTGAGGGAGGCTGAGCTCTGGAGGACCAAGATGACTTGAAGGAGCCATTGAAATTGTGATTTTGGTTTGAGAATTGAGAGAGGGTTTGCAGGGGAAGGTTTTGGAGCGGTGCGTGACATGCCCTGTTTCATATAGGAGTTGTTACTTGGGAACCAAGGAATTTGTTAGTTCTAGGACCACAATTTTTCTTTCTGTAATTCTTTTGTTTTATTATTATCAGTTGCTTATATTTATTCATAATATATATCCTTTGATTTAACACCCCCCAACCAAAAAAAAACAAGGAAAGGAAATTAGTTGGAAATTGTTATATTACAGATTTGGGAAGCACCAGGCTCATCAAAAGCCAAGAGATGACAGAGCCATACATGAATGATATCCCACAAGTACATATTTGGCTTGTAAATTCACGAGCGTAATTATTTTGCCAGAATCGGAACGCCGCATGCTGCCGGAGCATGCTTCCCGTCTTTGAAGACAAGGTTTCCTCTTACAAAAGTAGCTGAAACTTTTCCAGATAACTTTGTTCCCATGTAGGCTGAAATCCCCTGTACACAGAAAGGCAACACAGTCAAAACCTTGTTGTGTCATAACACAGAACAGAAAACAGGTTACACTCAAAACATGTGAACAGAGGATACATAAGGAAGACATACCGCATGCTTGAGGTAAATAGGATCATCATCAAGGTCAAACTCCACATCTGGATCCCACACTACCATATCTGCATGGTTCCCAATTGCAATTGCCCCCTGCAAATTTATAATTCAATTCATCAGCACAATGAGATTCATGTCTGCGTGAAAATCACTAAAACAGATAAAAATTTGATGATGATATCACCTTCAATTCTTGTCCGGCAAGGCTGGCGGGCCTTTCGCTCCACCATAAAGCTAACTGTTCTAAAGTCACTCCATATTTCTGGCCATATGACCACGTCACAGGGAGAACAAACTGCAAATGCCCCCGAGAATGCTAGTTAGTTTCTGAAGCCAATCACAGACCATAACATTTGCAAGGAAAAATATGCCAACCTGCAAAGATGATATGCCACCCCAAGCCCTCAAGAAGTCTCCATCATCAAGAAGCTTAAGTTCCGGCAGAGTTGGTGAATGATCAGAGCTTAGCATGTCAACATGTCCTGCCTGAAACAAAACATTGAAACAAATAGAACCAATTTGATAGTGATATACACAGGAAAACATAGAATGATTATATACCAACAAAGCCTCCCACAGTTTTTCCTTGTTGGCTGCATCACGGATGGGTGGAGAACACTTAAAACGAGTATCTCCATCCCGAATCTCTTCTGCTGAGAATGCTAAGTAGTGGGGGCATGTCTCCACAGTTACACTGTCACCACCACTTTTTGCATCCTGCAATAATGTAGACACCCAGTTGCATTGTTTATAATTGAACACTAATAATTTGCTTTCAGTTGAAAGTAGCACTCTGGTAATATTGTGGGTGCAGATAGAGCTGAATCAGTAGAAAGTTACAAGTGAATGGCCATTTTTACTATAGGAGTCACAAGACCCACAACAACCACATACATACTTATAATAGACTACCTTAATAAGATCTAACGAATTGCTTGAGTCAGACAAGTGAACAATATGAAGATGAGCTCCTTCCGCTGGGGCACCAATCCTTGTGTCCTTTGTCAAGGTCAAGAGATCCCTAATAGCTGCCTCTTCCCTGGTTTGGAAACAGAGACGAAAAATTACATTCAGGGATATTTCCTTACAGCAAGTATAGGGAAAATTTTTGCAATATAGATTCAGCATTCAAAAGTCAAAACAATGGTGCGAAAAATATCTTACCATGAAGCTGGCCTGGTCTTGAGATACGTCAAATAAGAACGAGCATCGTTACTGCCACCTTCAACTCCCAAGTCGCTTTCAAAATCTAGTTGTTTCTCCGCATGTACAAGTAAAGGCCGCCTATATTTTGCCAGTATAGACAGTCCCTCCTAAGGAACAAATAATTAAAAAAAAATGCAGATGTTTGAAAAGACATCAGAATTGTGCAAAAAACATTGCATCTCAAGAAGCCGACTGATCATGCAAGTCTTCAGCCATCACGAATGAATAATTAATGGTGCTGATTAAATTAGTACAGGTAGAGTTGGATAAGCAGCAATGCAATTAAGTCATTGATTATATGCTTTTAATTTATTTTGCAAGCTAAATCAGATAGTGGGAAGACTGAATCTCATGAAACAAACCTTAATATGACTGGCATTTGTCATAGGAAAGTCATTGATCCCTGATGGACACATGAAAGACTACAAAAACGGACACAGAAAAACTCATCAGATGAGGATCGTATAACATCTTAATATTCCTGCAAAAGTTGAGTACTGTTTCAGAAAGCAAGAAAATAGAAAACTGGTCCACATTCAATCGACATGAACCAATAACCACAAGCTCTAAAATATGTCTGTACACCTCAAGACACAAGAGATCTGAATTAGTTGGAAGAACGTTAATTGTGCCACAATAAATGTAATGAAACAGATATTACTATCCTATTATGAACTACAAAATTCCTAGCTTACCTATACATAGACTAGCACGTGTTCACTATTCTATTAAAGTGTTTACCTTCAAACCAAGTACACCAGCATTTAACAAATCCTCAAGAGCAGATGCGTTGAATGCGTTTTCAGGAACAAGACCTCCCCAGAAACCTGTTACAATATGCATGTAAAAACCATTAGTTCTCAAATGTTTTAGTATGATGGTATCCCCAAACATGTATAAGTTCTAAGAGCATACCAACATCAACGTAAATTCTGCTCTCCGCGGCCTTAATCTTGAGCTGCAAAGTCTCTCTGGAGACAGTGGATGGATCACTATTTAGAGGCATGTCAACCAATGTAGTTATCCCACCTTCAACAGAGCAAATATTAATCTACAAGCGATTGAAAAGCTACGAAAAAAACATAAGAATGAAGCAGAGGTATAGGCATACCAGCAGCAGCAGCCTTGGTCCCTGATGGAAATCCTTCCCATTCAGCTCTTCCAGGATCATCAAGATGTGCATGCCTGCAATTAATAGAAACCAAGGCATTTAAATTCCAATGAAAACCTTTGTGACTATACAGAAAAAAGACCACAGTGAGAAAATTAATTTAGGTGTCTTACACATCAACCAAGCCAGGCATTACCACAGCCTCTCCATAATCAATTACATTCTCCAACTTGGTTTTCCCATTCTTTTCCTCTTCTTTAACAATGGAGACAATCTTCCCCTCCTTTACCTCAACTGCTCATTTACGCATTTCATAAATGAAACTAAATCAACTATTTGGTTCCAAAACCATAATATAGTGCTATAATGTGGTTTCTAAAATCTACAACGGAAAATCATCCAATTCAAGACTATTGTTTAGACATGCCTGCTCCAGAAATGACCCCGTGAGGCGTCACGATGCGATTGCTGGTTATCCAGTAATGTTGGTGAGGAAGCAGGCTGCAGTT